CGGGGGGCGCGGCGGGGGGCGCGCCGGGCGGGGACGCGCGCGCGCCCGCGCCGCACTTCACGAGGTTAGCGTACGTCTTGGGCTCCGGGGCCGCCGCTGACCAAAAGTTAACAAAACAAATTATACTTCACTGTCTTGTACTGTATCTAAAATTAATCGTATTTATTGCTACCTAGCTGACCCGGCGAACTTCGTACCGCCTAACAGTCAATTAATGTTATTATTATATATATATATAATATTATTATTATATATTATATGTTGTGTAGCAAGTGATGCACTCGGATTAACTCTGTTCATTCAAGCACCCTGTGGTAAACGATATTCTTTGTTTGTTTGTCAGGCGCAAGAACAAACAAAGCGGATGGTTTGACGACACGTGAACATGCCACGTATGTACGTACCATGAGAAAAACATGCTTTTTCTAAATTGAAACCACAAATAGCCCTGCGTTTTGTTAATCGTCATGGCGAAGGCAATCATTCAATTCGTTTAAAATCAAAGGGCATATCCGTTGGGATCATCGGAATCCTTGGAATAAGAACTTCCTCATCTTTCAAAACAAACAAATTTAAAGAGTACCTGAACTTTCGAGACATAGACAATAGTTTAGATTTAGATCATAGACTACTACTTTGGATAGTGCACCTTTTTAATATTTGTAATAAATCTTTAAAAAAACAGACAATATAAAAATACGTCTATGTTTTCGTGAATCTATAAAATAAATTTTAGAAATAAAGCCTGAACTGAAAAATAAAAGACCTCTCCATATTGCCGAATTTTTTAAAACTAAGTTTCGTCATAGATTCTGATAGAAGTGCAACTTCTATTAAAAATATAGATATTAGACTGTTACTTTGGAACTTTGCGCCGTTTCATCATAGCATATTTCTGATTCATGCATGTCAACCTTCGATCAACAATAACAACTAGATATCGGGTCGGCGCAAGAAAATTGTCTCGACAAATAAGAGCTCACTTGAGAAGTGAGCTCTTATTTTGTTTAGTATGCTCCAAACACGGCCAACGTACTCACGTCTCACGATGCCGCAGTGCGTAATTGCAAGTTACAAAAATAATAACCGAAAAAGCATATAACGGCCGCAGTGTCTTACTTTTGATAAGTACATAAAGTATAAGTTATATTTTAAGCTTTTAAACTAGTAAAGAATATCAAATTAGACAAAATTACCAATTATAAACCAATTTATTTGTTCAAACTTAAGGTTGAATTCAAACTAGATATTGTATAACTTATGTCTTTTAATTTATACATGACAGGAGTAAGAAAATACTTTTCTCGTTTTATGTGACGAATGGTCATAAGTATTAGATAATATTTTGACGATTTATGACTATATTATTAGGTGCCATGGTTGTTATTAGGTTGAACTGAAAACTATTTTAAAACGTTTTTCTCGGTTTGTTATTTTTTTACTATTATTATTCACACGGACAGAACTGGAGCTTGATTTTGTACGTAACCCTTTATCTAGTTGCTATTGTTGATCGAAGATTTCAACCATTACTTATAATATTTGACAGGATGGACAACAAATGTTTGACAGGTACGAAACAAAGTAACATTAAGCGAAAATGATTCACCTTTATAATTATGTTCTCGTCGAGTTTTCATTTCTTTTAAGATGTATTCTGCTATTCCGGGCGGGGACAAATCCAACGAACCAAAAACCATGAAATTTGGTCTAGCCGATCTCGAGTTATAAGTGTTGGAACAAACCCGTTTTTCTTTTATATACATATATAGAAGATATAATATGTTATAGCATGGATAGTCGATGTAGAAATGTCTCATCATAAAAAAAATGTTTTACTGTTTGCAAGGCAATATAGATTTGTAAAAACGAAGTAAGTTTCGTATGTTTCGTAATAATTTTCAATCCACCAAGATATTCACAGTTACAAGTCAATTTGTAATTCAAATTTCAAATAAACTGCCATTCAAATAGCAAAGTTGCTTACCAGAGTAGAGCTTATACAAAACAAGTAGTATCAGACCTAAGTATCAACTTTTACAAAGGCGTAATGTCATAGGAAGACGCCGTTACCACTTGGTCTGCTTTGGTGCGTAATTCAAATACATACATTATCTTCTTTCATGTTATCCATTTAACACCTCTGGTCAGTTTTGTGTGGAAAACATTATGGTTGTCTAGAGTTAATTAACTGGTGAGTAGCTGTCCTTACGTGGGTGAGGCGGCGGGGTGGGCTCGCGCTCGCGCTCAGGCTCGGGCTCCGGAGCCGGCTCCGGCGCGGCCGGCGCGGGGGGCGAGCTCGGGTCCGCGGGGGGCGCCGCCGGGGGCGCGGCTGCCG